ATATATAATATATATATATATATATATATAAGTTTTAAAAACACTGCTTTTTTTTTCTTATATATATATATATATATATATATATATATATATATATATATATATATATATATATATATATATATATATATATATATATATAAGAAAAAAAATATGGTTGATAAGTTATGCAACTTATCAACCTATAACTGCAATTACTACAAGTTTGTTTTTTAAAGGTTTTTATTATATAAATGTTATATATCATACAGAGTTTTAAAGAAATGTTCTTCATGAATTAATATTATAGTTACTTAATGTACACTGTACTAATGTACAATTTTCTATAATTTATAAACTATAGATTTTTAAATGTTAAATGGATTGTTAAATGAATGACTTATATGAATAGAATGAATATTTTTCTTGAGTTTTTTTTATTCTTTTTAGAAAAAAGATTTTATGACTATCAAATGATAAGGGGCTATCCATAAAGAACGTCATCCAAATAGGGGGGATGGGGTCCAGTTAAAACTGACAAAAAAAAAAACAAGGGGAGGGGGAGGTTGTCAGAAAAGGACGTTTGTATAACATGGAAAACTACGTAAACATGTGTTTTTAAGAAGACAATGTATGAGAATATTTTTAAATTTTATTTTTCAAAGGTGTAGCAGCAGATTAAAATATCATTGCGAGATAAATTAAACTTTTTTGGAGTTAAAAATAGGGCGGGGGGTTCAGGATATTATGACGTCTTTTTCAAGAGGGTATACGGAAAAAGGACAACCGGTGTCAAAACGGGGAGGGAGGAGTTCAAAAATTGGCTAAAAAATGGTGACGTCTTTTATGGATGGCCCCTCAGTCTTTTAAGCAAATTCTTTTAAAAAAAAAGGATGGTTGGGTGGATAAATTGAACAATCGAGCCATTTTTCAAAACCAGAATAAAATATCTAATCGTTGACTCTAAATCAATAAGATAAGTTTTTTTTCTGACAATAAAATTGCAACAAATCAGTGTCTGTGGCTATTAAAAACATCTCAGCTCTTCGTTTGCGCAAAACTTCTCCCAATTGCCACGAAAATTGACCAATGTTCAATTTGGCCAAACATAATATTTGTGCGGCAGGTAAACGTAGGGATTTGTTATATGTTTTCATTTTCTCATACGATCTCATGATTAAAGCGTTTTTATAAAAAGAATTGTCAGATTTCAAAAGTTCAAAAAGGTCTTCAAATTCTCCACCACTTTTGTTGTAAAACAAAATACTTTTTGTTTTAACGTCATTTAAAACATTAAACAGTAATTTTTTAAAATAGTTATCATAAGTATAACCGACTGTTTCATAAGTGTCAATACACAGTTTTTTGGCCAGAGTATCCATTTTGTATCTTGTCGCTTCAATACCAACATATTGATCATCTCAATATAATAAATTTTGAAAGTGCGTGGGTAATAGTTTTTTTATTTGAACATCGCTATAGTTATCATTTAACAAAAAAACACGAATATCTTGCCAATTTTTTACCATGTTTTGAAATGCATTTTTAGCGTGAATAAGAACTTCATGATTTACATTTTTTTTTAATCTCCTCGCCAATAAGCCAAAATGACCGTTAATCAAAAATTTTTTATAGGCGTCAGTCACTCGGTCTCCTGTTTCGACAGCTATTTTCCTCTTTTCAATGTTGTCGCAAACCATTTTTTCAGCCAACGGAAGTCTCCAAACGGGTAAAACTTTGTTAACGATTTCTATCAAAACTCCACAATGAGGAGTCATCCACATGAGCGTGTCTAAACATTCAACGGTTTCGTGTGAACTCAGTTTCATGACGAGTTTGATCGAATTGTCGTTTTGTATAGTGTGTATGTCATTTTTTTAAAGATGTTGTTTCAAAGCTATTTCTATAG